GGTGCCTCTGGCTGTGTACTTCAGTATTTCACTTTGGCTGTACAACCCAAGAATCTTAAACTTGGCCTTCCAGAATCTTCCAACTGTTGACTTTTATGTTTCGAGGACGAGTCATAGTACCCAGGATCTTAGAAGACAATTTTATTTATTTTAATTTTAATTTGTTTTTGTTTTGTTGAGACAGGGTTTGTGTAGCCTTGGCTATCTGGACTTGCTTTATAGACCAAGCTGGCCTCAAACTCACAGCGAGCTGCCTGCCTCTGCCCCTCAGAGTGCTGGGATTACCACCATGCCTGGTTTGACAGTTTAAGAACACAAACTCATTGAAGCACATAATAATAGAACAACTTCTAAGCTTTTTAAAGTTTTTTTTTCTTGTTTTCTGAGGCCTGATCTTGTTAATATAGTCTAAACGGGCCTTGGAATGCTGTGATTATGGGCATGTGCTACCATGCCTAGTCAATAAGGCCTTTTAAAAACATTGATTATGCTGGGTGTAGTGGCACAAGCCTAGAATCCCAGCACTTAGAAGGTCAAGGCAGGATGATTAGAAGTTCGGGACCATCTTGGGCTATCCAGTGAGTCTAAAGCTAGCCTGGCCTACAAGAGGCCCTGTCTTAAGAAACAAGAGATAACAACACCCGATGTTGCCAGGCAGGGTGGCACACCCTGCCACCCTACCAGTGAGACTGAGGCTGGAGGGTCACTGCAAATTTGAGGCCAGCATGGGCTACAGAGTGATGGCTTTCTTCAAAACACCAAAAACAATAATTCATAGCCAGGAGGTGGTGGCGCAAGCCTTTAATTCTAGCACTTGGGAGATAGAGGCAGGAGGATCTCTCTTGAGTTTGAGGCCAGCCTGGTCTACACAGTGAGTTCCAGGACTGCCAGGGTACACAGAAAAACCTTGTCTCAAAAAAAAAAAAAAATCATTATTGGTGAGGCAGTCCCACTACTAGGGGAGTGGAGGTAGGAAGATCACAAGTTCAAGGCAAGCCTAGGATATAGTGAGACCTTGGTCTCAGAGAAAGAAAAAAAAAAACAATTATTCAAATAAGGCAGTGCTTCCTGGGCTGGTGCCTAGCTTAGAACAAGAGAGCATTGGGGCTGGGACTGTAGTGCAGCTGTTAAAGTGCTCAATTAGTAGCCTCAGCACTATGCTGAGTGTGCATGGTGGCTCACGCCTGTAATCCCAGCACTGGAGACCACAAGTTTATAGTCATCCTTGGCTACAGCAAGTTCCAGACCAGCCTGAGTTGCATGAGCTCGTCTCAAAAAAAAAAAAAAAAAAAAAAAAAAAGGCCTACCTAGGCACACATCTTTTATCCTAGCACTCAAAAGACAGAGGCAGGCAGATCTCTTGAGTTCGAGCCTGGTCTACAGAGTAACTTCCAGGACAGCTAGAGCTACACAGAGAAGCCCTGTCTCAGCAACAAAAAGAATCTGCCTAGCATTTATGAGGTCCTGGGATTAATCCCCATGACCACACAATAATAATGAAATGAACACTTCTCAAGGGTAACCTGGGAAGCAGGGAACATTAGAGGACATTTGCAAAGTGCCACCATTAGGCCTGTCCCTGGCCTGCACAGTTATTCCTGGACAGCTTATTCCTGATCTGCAAGCCCCATCCTGTGTTCATTAGACCCAGCCCGCCCTCTGTAGAGCCATACTTATGCCCAGCCAGCCCACAAGGCAGCCACAGGGCTGAAGCCCAGGCAGTCTTGCTCTCGTTTCTGTCCCGCTCCTCCTTAAGCCATGGGGTCTCAGGAACCCTGCCTGGTGCCCACAGACTGGAGAGTCCCAGATCCCTGTTTGTCTCTCTTCTGCTTCCCAGAGACAGTCAGGTCCCAGACCCCACCCCTATGGAACTGGAGGCCCTGCAGTTGCCTGAGTCAGACTTGCAAGTGCTGGACTTGGAGCCCCCAGTGTCCACACCGGATCAAGTGGTGAGTAGACAGGAGAGGAGGCCGGAGCCTCCTGGGTGGGTGTCCTGCAGTGCCAGCTGCCGCTCCAGTAAGAGACTGCTCCCAGCTGGCCCCACAGCACATCCTGTAATCCTAGCTACTCAGGAGGCAAAGGCAGAAGGATCCCAAACTTCAGGCTTGCTTAAGCTATGTAATGAGACCATCTTGGAATAAAAAACAAAAAGGACAATTAGGGAATATATAGCTCAGACATAGATGCTCTCCTGACATGTGGGTGGAGTCAGAAAGCAACACCAACCAGGGCTGGAGGGGAGGGGCTGGTGACCACATGGAAGAGTCTCACATAGAGGTCCTTATGGTCAGTCCGGGAACAAGGTCAGAGACCCCCAGTGAGATGCTGGTTTCTTAAAAGCTACCCGTGGGTAGGTGGCATTGGAAAGAGGGGGAGTTACAGAGAGCGACAAGACACTGGGGAGGCATGTGGGTAAAGCCAGGTTTGTCTGAAGCACCGCGGAGCTGGGAGGGACAGCACATGCTCAAGTTCTGACTCCAGTCCTTCAGTTCCTGTGTTGACTGTACTGGAGATGGGGTGGGGTGGGTGCGGCGCTGAGCCAACCCCAGGTCCCAACCCGGATCCCCACCTACAGGCTGAAGTGACAGACCCAGTGGCTGCCCCTGTGGCAGAGCCAGAGACCGTGGTGACGCTGCGGGAGCTGCAGGAAGCCTTGGAGGAAGAGGTCCTTACCCGGCAGAGCCTGAGCCGTGAGCTGGAGGCCATCCGCACGGCCAACCAGAACTTCTCCAGGTCGGGGTCAGGATGCTGGGTGGGGAGGCCAGCTACCTCGGCAGCCTCTCCACCCCTAGGGCCTGCTCACCCTGCTGTTTCCCCGCAGCCAACTACAGGAGGCCACGGTCCGGAACCGAGACCTAGAGGCGCACGTTCGCCAGCTCCAGGAGCGGATGGAGATGCTGCAGGCCCCGGGAGCTGCAGGCGAGTCCCTCACCCGCCCCCAGCCAGGCGGGTGCCGGATGGAGTTGGGGGCACGCTGGGTGTGTGGACACCTGGGGCAGGGGAGGAGCCCAGGCTGGGGCACGCCGCCGCACCACCGCCCTTTTCCTCCCTCCACGCTCCATACACCTCTCTCTTCTACTTCTAGCTGTCACGGGGGTCCCCAGCCCCAGGGCCACGGATCTGCCTTCCCATGTAAGACCCCGTTCTCCTCCCCGCCCCTTAGATCTGCTAACCAAAGCCGGTCTCCCCGTCCATATTAAGGGCTCACCCTCCTTGGGGGCTCCAGAAGGAAGATGCCCTTCACTCAGCCTGCTTCTACGAGCTGTCCCTCCTTTCAGACCTTTTGCCAAATCCTTCCCAAGATTCCCTAGATTCCCGTTCTGCCTCTGGCCCTGCTGCTGAGGGCGGCCGGGCTGGGCTCCGATCGGGTCACCTGTCCCTTCTCTCTCCAGCTAGATAGCCCCCCGGCCGTGGCTCTGGGCCAGTGCCCGCTGGTGGGGCCAGGCCCCACGCACCGCCGTCACCTGCTGCTCCCAGCCAGGGTACGTCCCTCGTCTGCTGCCTCCGGCCTCCGCCTTGCTCCGCCCACTGAATGTCACCACTGCTTTGCTGTGCCTCTGTAGAGCCAGCCCACCGCAGGGAGGGGAGGGTATTCGGGCCAATCAACACAGGCCGCTGCCAAGTAGCCAATGACGAGTTCCGACGGGAGCTCAGGCTTGCAAGCAGACCAACTGTAGCTGTGGGCTGTGGGGACCAGGGATGCGCTCGGAGGCCCATCTATGGGTACAGGCTGGGCAGCTCTCAGGAGCCAGTGCTAATCCAACCCTCTTGCCCGCAGGTCCCTAGGCCTGGCCTATCCGAGGCGCGTTGCCTGCTCCTGTTCGCCGCTGCTCTGGCTGCTGCCGCCACACTGGGCTGTACTGGGTTGGTGGCCTATACCGGCCGTCTCACCCCAGTCTGGTGTTTCCCGGGATCCACCTTCGCCCCCTGAACCCTAAGACTCCAAGCCATTTTTTTATCTAGGCCCTCTTGGAAGGACGGGTGACCCGGGAGCGTCCCGGAACGTCTCGTGCTCATCCTCACCACCCCACCCCACCCCAGTCGCCCATCCACATTTCTGGGAGCCTGGGTCGTTCCCCAGCTCCGCGCCTGTGATCCGGGCCCGCCACCTGGCGGCCGGGGAGGGAGGAACGGGACAGGGCTGGTGGCTGGAACGCTGCAGCTGCTGCCCGGGCGTTTGCCGACCGCTCTTTCTCAGCCCGACCCGGATGGGCAAACTAGATCTACGCAGCACATCCGACTTCACTTTTCATGCTCCCAGTCGTCGGTCACAAACCTTAAATCCTTGCGCATGAACCCCTCCAGGGACGTCCCATTCCCGCAGTGACAGATCAGCAAGACTGCCAGCTCTCACGGGAGTCTTTGGCTTCGGACAGACCCCTTCCTCACGTACACTCCCATCGGAGCCACAGTTACCCCCCTCCCCCAAGGCAGTGTGGGTATTTATTGACCTTGCCCTCTGACTCACTGACAGACTCCGGGACCCACGTTTTGGATGCACTGAGACTCGACATTCCTCGGTATTTATTGTCTGTCCCCACCTACGACCCCACCCCCGACCCCAGCGAATAAATTACTTTCTGGTCTGCCCTGAGCCCGGAGCACTGTCTCTGTTGTGCCAAGGAAGCTGCCCCGCAGGCCAATGGAGAGCCCAGTAAAGATGACCAATGGCTTGTCCTGGAGCTAGCGGGACGCAAAGCGCAGATCAGACTGAAGGGCGGAGTTTAGGCATCCAGCCATCAGAGACACCGCCTCTCCCACCCCCGCCCAGCTGTGACCCAGCTGTGCAACTCAAGCTTGGAAAAGTAGGGGGTTGGGCTGGCCGCGAGCCCGTCATCTTCTCACTGCGCCTGCGCAAGCCACGCGCATCCGTTCGTAGGACCGAAGCTCCAGAAAAGTTGCCGCAAACTTTCTAGCACGTTTCCCCCGCCCCTCCTCCAAGCTAGATCCGCCCCCAGTCCGCGGGGCCGGGAATTCCGAGGGGCGGAGCGCGGCGCGGAGATGGGGAAGGAGAGGGGCCTTCAAGGGACCCGGGAGATCGTTGCGGCTTCGCGCCCTTAACCCTCCTGGACGGCCCATTTCTTTCTCCGTTGCTCTGATGGGGAAACTGAGGCCCTGAGCCCGGGGCACACGCAGAGGGAGGCCGAAAGCGCGGCCGGAGGCGGAGGGAAAACAAAGAATCCCGATAGTCGGGGAGGGGGCGGACACACCGGGACAGGGACGGACCTGAGTACAGAGCAGGGTCTAGTCTTTGGGCCGGGAGGGGCCAAAAGACCGCGAGGGGACGGGGGTGGGGGGAGTTTAGGCGAGGAGGGCTGGGCGGCAGAGGGGGCTGGGGAAGCCCGCGGGAGGCGGCAGAGGAGGGAGGAACTTCCCAAAGTTGCCAAACATGGCTACCTCGCCTGCCGAGCCCAGCGCGGGGCAGGCGGCCGGGGGCGAGGCGGCGGCGGCGACCGAGGAGGAGGAGGAGGAAGCGCGCCAGCTTCTGCAGACTCTGCAGGCGGCCGAGGGGGAGGCGGCAGCGGCCGGGGCGGGAGAGGCGGCGGCGGCTGCTTCTGGATCCCCCAGCGGCCCAGGGTCTCTCCCCGAGACCGAGGCGCCCACGGGCCTCCGCTTCTCGCCCGAGCAGGTGGCGTGCGTGTGCGAAGCGCTGCTGCAGGCGGGCCACGCCGGCCGCTTAAGCCGCTTCCTGGGCGCGCTGCCCCCGGCCGAGCGCCTACGTGGCAGCGACCCGGTGCTGCGCGCGCGGGCCCTAGTGGCCTTCCAGCGTGGTGAATACGCCGAGCTCTACCGGCTCCTCGAGAGTCGCCCTTTCCCCGCCGCCCACCACGCCTTCCTGCAGGACCTCTACCTGCGAGCGCGCTACCAGGAGGCGGAGCGGGCCCGCGGCCGTGCGCTGGGCGCGGTGGACAAATACCGGCTGCGCAAGAAGTTTCCCCTGCCCAAGACCATCTGGGACGGCGAGGAGACGGTCTACTGCTTCAAGGAGCGCTCGCGCGCGGCGCTCAAGGCCTGCTACCGCGGCAACCGCTATCCCACGCCGGATGAGAAGCGCCGCCTGGCCACGCTCACCGGCCTCTCGCTTACACAGGTCAGCAACTGGTTCAAGAACCGGCGACAGCGCGACCGTACTGGGACCGGCGGCGGAGCGCCCTGCAAAAGGTGAGGGGACCGGCCCTCCGTCCTCGGTGCCCGCTGGAGTCCGTGCGCGTGACCTTTCACACAGCCCTCGGCATCGGCGAGGGCACGGGCTGAGCGTGGCACCCCCTGGGTTCTCTGGACATCACTGCCCCACTGGCAGAAGTTTTTGCCGCCGCTTCCAAGTTGGGACTACAGTGCCGGGGAGGGTGGGCGTCAGTCAGAAAAGTGGAGGATCCCCGGAGGGGCGGCAAAGGGAAAGAGGCCTTTGTCTAAGGCATCCCGGGTAGGGACCCGCTTTGGGGGCCTCTGGGTGACCATTACTAATACCCACCCCCACGCCCTCTCCAACCCAAAAAGCATGGTCTGTCGCCTGTCTTTGTTGTGAAACGTGAACCTTCTCCGGCTCCGATTTCCCTGTAACCAAGCCCTTCCCCTCCCACCCCAGCGCCAGGCCTCTAGCTCTGGTCTCTGACGCCCTTGGGGGAAGGACTGGAGTAAAGGCTGCTGCCTCACTCTGCAGCCACGCGCCTGCCGACCCAGGGGACTTGGGGCAGCCTGGGTGCTCGGCTGCAGGCCAAGGTGAAGGGAAAGCATCCCTCTAACTTAGCATTCTCGCCGTGCTGTCAACCCCAGCAGGGCTTGGGGAACCCTGGGGTCCATGCGGGTTCTTTGAAGGGCTCTACAGTTATCAGGAGCTTGGCTTGCCTCTGCCCCTAGGGCAGTGAAGCCCTCAGGCCTATGACTTAATCCTTTTTCCTGCCAGCGAGTCGGATGGGAACCCCACTACTGAGGATGAGTCCAGCAGAAGTCCAGAGGATCTAGAAAGGAGTGTGGCCCCCGTGGCTGCCGAGGCCCCCACCCAGAGTCCCATCTTCCTGGCAGGGGCCACCCCTCCTGCGACGTGCCCCGCCTCCTCCTCCATCCTAGTGAATGGGAGCTTCCTGGCGGCCAGCAGCCCCCCAGCGGTGCTCCTCAACGGCAGCCCAGTCATCATCAACAGCTTGGCCCTAGGAGAGGCCTCCAGCCTGGGACCCCTGCTACTCACAGGAGGAGGGGGTGCCCCTCCACCACAGCCCAGCCCCCAGGGAGCCAGTGAAGCCAAGACTTCCCTGGTCCTGCACCCTCAAACAGGAGAGGTTCGGCTGGAGGATGCTCAATCTGAGGCCCCTGAAACCAAAGGGGTTCAGGGGGCTGCCCCTGGGACAGGTGGAGAGGAAGTCCCAGGAACCCTGCCTCAAGTAGTCCCTTGCCCCCCACCTGCCTCCACCTTCCCTCTGACCCCAGGAGCTGTGCCAGCCGTGGCTGCTCCTCAGGTTGTACCACTCTCCCCCTCTTCTGGGTACCCAACAGGCCTGAGTCCCACCTCCCCACTGCTGAACTTGCCCCAGGTGGTGCCCACCTCCCAAGTGGTGACCCTGCCTCAGGCTGTGGGACCACTCCAGCTGTTGGCAGCTGGGCCAGGCAGCCCTGTGAAGGTGGCAGCTACAGCGGGACCTGCCAATGTTCACCTGATAAACTCTGGAGTGGGAGTGAGTGCACTGCAGCTTCCCTCGGCCACTGCTCCAGGTACCTCCTGCTTTCTTTGGGGCTGAGTGGGCTTGGGGAGCAGGTATCTCTTGCCCCTAGCACATCTCCTGGGGTTAAGCCTACTGACACGTCTGCCCACCACCCAGCATCTTCCACGCCATCTCTTTTCTCCACAGGAAACTTCCTCCTGGCCAACCCTGTGTCTGGCAGCCCCATCGTCACTGGGGTAGCTGTGCAGCAGGGCAAGATCATCCTCACCGCCACCTTTCCCACCAGCATGCTTGTCTCCCAGGTCCTGCCACCCACCCCCGGCCTAGCCCTGCCCCTGAAGCAAGAGCCAGCCATCACAGTGCCCGAAGGAACCCTCCCAGTGGCTCCCAGTCCTACCCTCCCAGAGGGTCACGCTCTGGGGCCAATTTCTGCTCAGCCACTGCCACCTGCTCCTGCTGTCACCTCTTCCACCAGCCTGCCTTTCTCTCCGGACTCCTCTGGGCTATTGCCCAGCTTCCCAGCTCCCCTGCCTGAGGGTCTGATGTTGTCACCTGCAGCTGTGCCAGTCTGGCCAGCAGGGCTAGAACTGAGCACAGGGGTGGAGGGGCTGGGAACACAGGCCACCCACACTGTGCTGAGGCTGGCAGACCCCGACCCTCAGGGGCTGCTCCTAGGAGCCACAGCAGGGACTGAGGTCGATGAGGGGCTAGACGCTGAGGCCAAGGTCCTGACCCAGCTGCAGTCAGTACCTGTGGAGGAGCCCTTGGAACTGTGACTGTCTGGACTTACCGCCTCTCCTGACAATGGTGCTCAAGGTGGCAGGGCAGGAGGAGAAACCATCAGTAAAGTGGCTGCTGTCAGAAGGTCCCACACTACATCCCTCCACCCTGGATAAGCTGCTCTCTGGAGGAGCCAGAGGGAGCAGCACAGTCAGGGCACTGCCTCTCTCCTGAAAGGAGATCTCTTGTTAAACCCTCTCCTTGCTCTGTCTGCCCAATGTGTGGGCCCATTAGGGGTCCAGACTTGGGCTTTGCCCTCCTCTACCTGCTACTAGTGTAACAGGCCCTGCCAACTGGCTGATTTCCAGCCGGCACCCTCATCATAACACTATTAATAGCCCCACTGATACTCAGTGTTCCCAGAGCTTCCTGGAGTCACAGGAGTGGGAGACCAGGGTGCCTCAGAGACAGCCCTTGCTGCTTAGGAGGGTCTGATGGGTGCACAGGGCCCTTCCCCTGCTTCCCTGGACTTGAGCCCCAGGATCCAGCCCCAGACCAAAGATTTCCCTGTCCCCTGGGGCAACCCTGACCCCTTTTGTTTAGTTTGTATCGTAAATTTTTATTTTTCTAGGACATGTTATGCCTCCATTTCAATTAAAGTCAACTTAACAGACAACAGCCATTAAGGGTAAGGGTTACCTGCCAAACAACTGGCCCAAAAGACAACTAGAGGTAAAGCCCAGCCTGAGGCTGTGGCTGCTTATTTTTGTTTAGGTTCTTTTTGAGATGGAGTCATGTGCTATGTAGCCTAGACTGGTCTCAAATCCCATCTTCCTGCCTCAGCTTCCTGAATGCTGGAATTACAAACATGGGTCATCATATCCCAAGACTGGATTTCTGAGGTAAAGGGGTTGGATTCAGACCTGTGGGCTCTGGAGGGCTTTCAAGGTGCAGAAGCAAAGGGCTTCTAGATTTGATATGTTGAGAGCTCACCCCTGCCCAAGGGATCCTGGACACAGCATCCCTTCTCCCCTGAGAGTAAAAGGTCCCAGTTCATTTTAAGACAATAAATAGTCCATAAATAAAGTGGGGAAGGATGCAGCGAGCACAAACAGAACTGAAAGCATGTGATTCTAGGGGCAGAGGGAAGCTTGCATTTCATCTAGGGCACCCATCCTGTAAGAACAGAGGTGGGAAGGCTGGAGGGTCTGTGCACAAGCCAGTACACAGAGCCTTGGGTCAGTAAATACACTCTCTCTCTGGTGCTGGGGATTGGGGACTGGGCAGGGGACCCACAGCACTGGATGCTGAGGCCCAGGGGAAACAAATGTAGAGGCCTGGAAGCTAAGCAGATGGTAGAGCCAGGCCGGGGTTGTCCCTCTCACTGGCAGCAAGGGGTGGGCACGAGGTCAGGCCCAAAGACACTTGGGCCTTCTCAGCCAGCAGCTGGTAGAAGGGCTTAGGGGTCTCCCCATCGTCGTCCTCACTGCTGGAGCTCTCCCGCTTCACAATGCGGTTGTGCTGGCGGCTGAACCTGCGTGCCTTAGTGCTGGGGACAGATGGAAGTTCCTCAAGGTCAGCTCCTAGGTTCCCCAACTAGAGTCCCCAGCGGTGACCAAACCTGAAGGGAGCTGGAACTCTCTTTGGTCCCACTGGGGCCAGCCTCTCTTTGGGCCTCTGGGTGTTGATACCTAGATTGGACTGTGCCAAGTGCTTGCATACAGACCTGAGGGGTTAGGCTAGTTTGGAAATGAGTAAGGGTGAGCCCTTGAGGTTGGTGTAGGGGGCAGAATTCGGATTAGGATGACTAAGACAAAAGACAGAGGCTAAGCAACAGGAAAATAACTGATGCTCGGTGTGACAAGTAGAAATGAAGGCAGCAGATCCAGGACCCAGCAAAGGTCACTCTTCCCAACTGCAGATGGCACCTCCAAGTGGTAAACCTTGTGACCCAGGGGCTGAGGACATACTTAGTAAGGACACTTGCTCTGGCATGAGTCTGAGTTACTAGTACACAGCTATGCCTGGCTGTGTGTGCCTGTGTCCAAGCACTAGGAGCAGAGATAGGTAGATCAAAAGCTCTCTGTCCAGCCTTTTGGCTGCAAAGGCCAGTTCCACATTCAGTGGGAGGCCTTGCCTCAGGGTAATGAGGCAAAAAGCAAAAGAACGACACCTGATGTTCTGTCCTGGCCTTTGTATGCATGTGCATGTGTGCACATACCACACACGCACGTGCATGCACCACACATATACAAAGAAAAAGGAATCTGTGTTTTACAAGTCTTTAGCCCAGTGACACCCCAACCTGTCAGCAAAGCCAGGAAGCTCTGGGTGAGGGTGAGGGTCACAGGTGGGGCCCATGGTCTCCCCATGCCTTCTGAAGAGGTATTTCTCACCAGTATGGTCTCCTTTCCTCCAGAGTCATCCCTCGCCACAGTTGAGCCAGCTCCTTGGTGGCAGCTGTGGATGCGGTCCCAGGACAGGCTCTGGTACAGGAAGGAGGAGGTCACAATGGCCACACTATGGTCCTTGGCCATCCTTCCTCTCCCACCAGCTTTCCAGTGCCCCATTACACCCTCTAGAGTGAGAGGCAAGGAAGAGACACAGATGTCCTCCAAAGCATAAATGACCCACAGCCACCAACTTCACAGGCTCCCCCACACACAAACATGTTCTTCCAAAAAGGCAACCAGCTCTTTGGGCTGTTGCTCAGCCAACAGTGACAGGTCCAGGGCTGGCAACTGTTCTAAGTCAACCCCAAGGACCTTTAGCGATGAGACTTCTAAGGTATTTGGCAGGACTGAGCCTGAACCTTCTGAAGACAACCTGCAGCCAATGTGGCCTAGCAGGCAGATGACAACTAGGGGAGAGGTACAGGACTGGTTCAGCCCAGAACCAACCCCTCCTGAAGGCAGTTTCCTTGAAGGAGACAGAAGCTAATTAATTTCCTTTCCTCTGATGTCTCAGGTTGGAACTTGGGTCTGCTGCACAGGATAGGAAGCACAGCAGTGGGGCCACATGGTCTGGGGGTACACATGGGGATGGTAAACCCTTTAAAAACCTGGGTACCCTCACCCACCGGATATACTGCTTCCGGTTCATCCTGCAGAACATGATGAAGCCATTAACACACTTTTTCTTCACCTGGCCAGGGCAGATTTTTTTACTGTCCTTGGGCCTCATAGGGCCCTGGCTTGCCTGGACCTTCTTGATCTTCTTGCCAGCTACTAGTAGGCCAGAAGACCTCCGGGTAGGTGTCCATGTGTAGTCTTTGTCCTCATCACTGGAACTCTGCAAGCCCTCTGGGTTGGCCTGCTGCAGAACAGAAAGCTGAGCGAGGGAGAAGACCCCTGTCTTCCCTGAGTAGATGGCTACCCCTCTCACCTCCTCCTGTCCCCACAGGGAGTCTATGTCTGTGGACTCTGAACTGGAGCTGCAGTTGGACAGCACTTTCGTGTTCTCACTCAGCGACAGGTAGCAGTGGTCCAGTGAAATTGCAGACTGGAAGTTAGGTGGGCCTGTGTGGCCCTCAGAGGGTGCGTCCTAGACCAGATGAGGAGGAAGACACTGACTACAGGATTCACAAGACATTAGAAACAGCTCAGGTTAGACACCTTCACCTGTCTCCACACCCCTGGAAACACAGGAACCTCGACTTGAATGTCCCAGGCAGGAGCCTCATGGCATCAATTCACACATGAGGAAACTGGTACTAGAACAAGGACACAGGGTGCTTCAGCTGGAGGACATGAGTGCCCCTCCCACCTGCACAGCCTTAGCAGCCCTAGCACCAGTCTCAGCTAACTGGTTATCGCTCCCTCCTACTCCCTCATGTGGCTGAGCTGGAGGCAAAGGCAAAGCTGGATGACACCAATGGAGCTGTGTCAATGGAGCCAATCTTCTTGAGTCCCAGGCACCATGAGCCCTGTGGTGCCACTACCCACTGTGCATAAACTCCATGGTCAGGGAAGTACGAATTATTTGTCCAGATAAATTGGTACATTCCTGTAATTCAAGCTCTCTGAAGGCTAAGGCAGGAGGATTGAGAGTTTGATGCCAGCCTGTGATCCAGGAGACCCTGTCTCAAACACACAGACACATCACACACACACACACACACACACACACACACACACACACACACACACTAAGCTGTGAGTGGTAAACCACTGTAGGTGAGAGAACTGCCCTGTGTCCACCCTGCTAGGGGAGTGGCTGTGATCTCATGCAGGCCCTTCTGGGGCCTCTCATGGCAGCAGTGAGCTCAAAGGTGGGCGGTAAGGACAGAGGTGGTAACTCTGGGAAGGATGTAGGTATGGGATACAGTGAGGAAGACAAGCTGGAAAAACAAGAGCCTACCTTCTCTGAGGGGCCTTCCAATTCACAGGCAGCAGGTGAAGACTCCAAGAGACCTGTGAGTAGAACACTAGCAGGACTGGGCCTTTCCTACACCACCCCTGGCTAGCCCCACCTCCTTTCCCTACTTTCTCCACTTTGGGATTTCCTAGTCCATGTGCCAGCTGAGGGCACAGTGACAGCTTTCTGGAGCCTCTCCCTTACTACATGGCCTAGTAGCCCCTATGTTGTGAGGAGCTGCAGGCCCCCCAAGGCCCTCTAGGCATCCATTGGGCCCAGCTCAGGCCCAAGTACTTGTTGGGTGGGATGGTGTCCCCATGTTTTATGAATGAATGACTTTCCTCCCACTCTGGTAGCCCACCTTCAGTCAGAAAGTAGGTGCCATCCTCCAGGACATGATCCGGCAGGATTTTGCTTGGGGAGCTGAAGAGGGAAGAGCTAAGTCCTAAGATTTCACTTAGGTAGTTCGTCACATGCCTGGTATTGCTCTGGGAAGACCTCAAGGCCAGTGGGCTTCCTGCAAAGGATCATGGCACTCAGGCATGTGGTCAACTCCCAATGTAGCAGCGGGCTTTGAGGAGATAGTCCCACCCTAGCGAAAGGAGACTGCCATTCAGAGTCAAGGTGGTATAGGATTAAGAAGCACATTGCCTGGCAATACATCAACAAAAAAGAAAAAAAGAATCATTGCAATGTGCCAGAGCCAACAGATTGACTATGATGACCCACAGCTCTGTGCTTAAAAGGTTCTGTGGTAGCTGGCTTGTGGGAAAGCATGGCTTGATTAGCAACCAGGGGTAGAATGATGCTAGGTATAGTATGCTTTCATCCCACAGCCTTCTTCCTGCTTTTCTTGCTATAGACATCCCCTGAAGAGGAAGGTTCAGAAGGCTCAAAGCCTACAAGAAGAGAAGTTGTAATCACCATTTGGGCTGTCCTCGGATGTCCACACAGGAAGCCAGGGGTCAATGTCTGGGGCTTCTTTGTCTGCTTCACTGGAAGTGCACAAGAATAGCTTCTGCCTGCAGGAGTTGGAATTTGAGGAAGACACAGAGCCCTGGACTGAGCTCACATGACCAACTGTGGGCAACCCCAGGGAACTCAATCAACTGGGTTTCTACCCCCAAGGAGCTCCAAGTCGTGCATGGGAAAATGAGCTGGTAGGCAGATGCTGATAATGGAGGAGACCCTGTGGGGGAGCGTTCCAGGGAAGATGAGGGCAAGTATGAGAGAGACATGGTAGTTTCCCAAGTAAACCAGAGAGGCAGATGATCTAAGTAGAGGGACCAGGGCAGCAAGCTCAGAGCAGGTAGTGTCTGGACTGGAGAACATTTGGGCTGTTCAGTGAAAGGTTGGTGGCAAAAGCAAAAGAGGACAAACATGATGAGACTGGGTCACATTCTCCAATGCCAAGGAAGAGGTTTTGGCTCTACCTTGGGTCAGGGGCTTCAAGCTGCACTGATCTAGTCAAAGTCTATATTAGACAAGCACTCAATGGATGAGAATAGGCTAGGAGGAGAGAGAGTCAAGGAAGATCAGCAGGTGACAATCACCAGTCTAGAAGGTGGGAAACCAGACCTTCCTGGGAGCCTGGAACAGCCAGCACACAGCTGAGCCCAGAGCGCCATTCAGGGAGCCCTGGCAGAGAATGTAAAGCTTTTTCTCACACTTGACAGATACCTCAGCCCCAGCCATTGGCACTCTGGGGTTTCCTTACCTGAGACAGGGCTGTGCCCTGGTGAGGAAATAGGACCTCTGAACCCTGCTCTGAGCCTTGATGTCAACATCAAGCTCTCCATCCTGGGCTGCTACAGCATGATCACCTGAAGGAAGGGGTGTCAGAATAAGGTAACTATGCCTGTATATGGGCCAGATTCCAGGGACCCAAGATGGGGAGGGGTAAGGGTAAGAGAGAGGACCAGGCTCTGCCATCAGCCTTCCTCCTCCCATAACCAAACCAGAATCTTAGGCTGTGGTACCTGGGTGAAGCCAGAGTGTGTGAGTCACCCCAATGATTCACACCTCCATCAGAAGTGCCAGAAGACCAGATCCTTAGTATAGAATAACAATGCCAGCAAAGATGACACACAAGTGAAGCTGGCCCTGTCCTCCTCCCTGTAAATCTTTTACTGATGTACAGTACCATTATACCAATGGGTAAGCCCAGTCATTGCCATGTGAAATGGCATGTCTAGCTCCAAGTCTCATAGCTGGCAGGAAGGTAATACCGCCTCTGGGACCAGGGCATTCTAGCACCAGGGCATTCCAGCAAGTCCGGGTGGCCCTGGAAAAATGGGGAATTCCATCACTGGACTGAGAATTTGGTCACTACCATGTCATAGCACGGTCATGGCCTGGACTAGAGAGGATACATGAACAATAGGGGAGCATGGTGGAGAAGAGGAACTGGGCACTCAGAGAAGCCCAGTAGGCGTATGTTGCCCCATCCCTAGGTTTGAGATCTGAAGCTTACACACAAGGGTGACCTTCATCTTGCCCCTCTCTTACAGAGACTGACAACAAGAGTGAATGAAAAGCCCCATGGTGTAAGAGGCAGTGTCATCCCATTCATTGATGTATGCCTAGTTGCTGGAACTGTCCAGGGCAGAGTCTGCAAAAGGTACAAATACACATGTACACACATGTGTGGGGTTAAAGAGCACATGCAAATATAAAGTGAGTTCCTGCTAAAGAAAGGCACCAACTTGTAATGTCATAGGCAGAGATGTTCTGAGCCATGTCCAGGAACACCAGCTGGGCCCCTCGTCCGTCACCTTCAGACAGGGATGGTATAGTTGTGGGGTGGATGCTAGGGCTGAGGTCTCTTGGACAGATGGTACCTTCCCCATTTTCTTCCTTTAGGCCTGGGTGTGTGGTCATCTGATTTTCAGACTGGTCCAGAACTAGGGAGCGGCGAGACTTATAGGGCCAGACTGGGCGCTCTGAGAGAATAGAGACAGGAGTCTGGAGGCTTGGTGTTAGCACCAGGATGCCTCAGAATTTGGCTCAGGTAGGGAACTCTTCTGCTTGAGGCTGACACATTCCGGAACCCTGCTTATCTCCTGGCACTCACGAGCAGTCCAGGTGTTACCAGCTCTTCAACCAGAGCTCACTGAGCCAACTCTGTGTACATAAGTTGAGTTCTAACAGCATGGTGCACAGCTGCTGTGACATCCCACACCAGGCAATGATGCTAGCTTTCGGGGTGTGGCACACACTTAAGAAGTTTCTAAGCACCTCAAATAATTGTAATGTACAGTTGTGACTAGAGAGCAATGATTAGGTAGGCCATAGCCCCATTTCACAGGCATGGGCACTGAGGTGCTTAAGGGGTTGGAAAGCAAGGGTGTGGTGAGGCTGAGCTAGAGCCAGGACTCTCAGCCTCTACACTTAGATCTTTCTACCACCCTGCCTCCCCTATGCACTCGATCAAGGACAAGAAATGATGACAGTAGCATCCTTCTTGGGCCTTGCCAGGGCTTCTCATATAAGCACTGCTTGGCAGTGTCTTCTCAGGCTTTTCTGTAACCTTGAGAGGAACTGGATCAGTCCCTGTCCCAGTGAGGGGAAATGAAAGTCCCGGAAGGTCTGGGACTCAGGCATAGATTGGTGGGGCCTGGCCCAGTGTGTCCCTGGAGAAGGAGCCTATTCTGTGACAGCAGTTCACTGCACTTTTTCCACAGACCACACGTACCTGACACTCGGGTAAACTTCTTCTTTCGAGGTTTCAAACAAGTGCCCCAAAGGTGTGACTTCTGAGAGCTGGAGGGGGTGGATTGTCTCCGCCAGGTCTGGCCAGCAGATGGGTTCCCACCCAGCCCTGGTAGTAGAGAGGACACAGGTCAGAGCCCACTCCTGGTCTTGCACATCCTCCTCCCCCCAAACAAGGCTTTCCAACCCTGGGTGGGAATGTTTTCAGGCAGACTCTACAAACAAGGAAACTAAGGTCTATTCCTACACAGCCAAGAAGTCAAAGGGCAGGCAGCACTTAGAAGGCTGAGGAAGAAGGATTACTGTAAGTTTGAGTCCAGTCTGGGCTATATAGTAAGACTCTTCCTCAAAAATATAAATGAATGCGTGAATGAATGAATATAAGAAAAAATAAAAATAGAAACAAAAACAAATTAATCTTTAGGATGTTCTCTGGTTGAATCTTCTAATACTTTTCATCTCCACCCCTCTGCTCTGACTTACAGACCTTACCCCTCTGCTCTAGCCTCTGTGTCCCTGGCCTTTTCTTCCTGTGTGAGTATTCACCCCAGCCACTGTACAGTGCTGGGTAGCTGTGTGCTGCAGCCACCATGTTGTTTCTCTGTATAAACACATCTCATTCCCATGGCACACACAGTATGGAAGTGCTGGTGGGGTCCCAATGTACAGATGACAAAACTGAAGCCCAGGCAGGCTATAGTCATAACAGAATCTGAATCAGCATCTGGCTTGGGAAGAGCATGCATAAACCAGATCAGTGTAGTATCTACTCCAGTCACATTTGCTGCTTGCCTTTCCTTAAACATTCTATGTCTCCTCATGCCCACATGTTCTTGGTCGGAGTGGTTCTGCAGTCTGGCAGGGTTCCCTTATGTTTTCCTTGAAGGCCAAGCTCTCAGGCTACCTCCTCCAAACTCCAAAACACAGTGTCTATGTTTTGCTTTGTGTCTCTGAGACTGGGTCTTGCTTGGGTAGGTTAGGCTGGGCTGGAGCTCACTGTGCAGCCGTGGCTGGCCTTGAACTCCTGCCCAGCCCCTGAACGCTGGAGTAACAGGTGTGGCTCTCTTACAGCACCTTTCACATCTCTCTGATGTAGCTACCTTCCCCAAGAAGAGGAAGATTGGTTTCCCTGACAGCCAGGAAAAAAATGGTGTAGAGGCACTGGAGATGGAACTGCTTACCCACAAATTCACCTTTGCCATTGCTGCTGTGGAGCTTGAGCAAGGCCTTGGCCACATCAATACTTCTCTGGAGATACTGGATGTAGTGTAGGACACGCAGCAGGATCTCCTTCTGTGTAGAGACAAAGTTGAGAGCTGGGCACATTGCCCTCCTGTCACCCCAGCTCCTCAGGAGGGAGAGGCAGCAGGATCATGAGTTGGAAACCAGCCTACGAAACATGCTGTTAAGACCCTGACTGCACAAGTGTTAGGGCCTAAGACAGTGTAAGGCTCCTGGGGAACAGAGAGAGGTAGCACCTCACACCCCACTCTCCACACACACCCCAACAATGCCTCAGCTGGCAGAGCTCCACCTATTCTGACATCTAGGCTTTAGTTTGTCCTAGAGAGCTGGCTGGAGGCTAAGGCTAAACATTAATGGAGCTTGCAGACCTAAAGAGACAGAGCTAGAATCTGATTGGGGCAGCCTGCTCCTGGTCCCAGTCACAGGCATATACTGCTCAGCTTCTGGCCTTTTGCTCATACTTAATTTCCTGTCTGGCCCTCCTCTTCTCTCCACAAGCCCCCTCATCTGCCTGCTCCTCCTCTGAACTTCAGCATAGCCACCTCCTCTTATGACTACCTGGCCCAGGCTGGACCAGCTTACCATATCTCAGTAGTCTAAAACACCCTGGACTTCTTCCCACCTCCACATCAGCCACAGTGCTTTCTGTTATCTGTTGCTGTGTTGTTCTCTCCCTTTGACCTTGAGCTAGTTGAAGCAAGACTTTAGCTAACTCATTTCTGTATTCCAAAGACATAGAATGGAGAGGTGCCTCAGCCGGGGGCTTTTAAAGAAGCAGATTTTTCACATCATTCAACAGGGTGCTCCTGGCCAATGTGCAGATATCACCTACCCCACTACCACCACTCAATACCTCCTGAGATGCTACTGGAGACACAAAGCTAAAACCAATGCAAGCACGTGCCTTCATGGACACACAATCTAGCAAGGACAACAGTCCCTAAATAACTCAGAAATCATTCAAAATTATCAGCCATGCATTCTGGAGTATACCTGTAATCCCAGTACTCAGGAAGCTGACACAGAAGGATTGTAAATTCCAGGACAATACAGCCTAGGAAGACCCCATAAAGAGAGAGACAAGACAGACTGAGAGAGAATACCTCTTAACACCACCCCCAACACCAACACACAATTTTAAAAAGGCTTAGTCAATGTTTGAATGAGACTGCTTTCAAGGGGGCTGGTCTCAAAGGGCCTGAAAGAGAAGAAAGCTGTCAGTAGACTACTGACAGGTGTCTTTCTTAGACTGGCATGTATAAAACCTGGCTTGGAATGCCATTACAATGAAGTCTTTGTGTAGTTGTGAAGAGACACACACAGATGGTCCATGCAAAGGTAGTTGGACTGCATCCCTGTTTTCAAGATAGAAAGCTGTTTCTGATTTTTGTTTTGTATGGTTTTTGAGAAAGGGTCTCACTGTGTACCTCAAGCTGACCTCTAACTGGTAATCCTCCTGCTTCAGTCTCCTATTGACATGAGCTCCATACCCATCTAGAAAGTTCAGTCTTGGTGCTTTAGGAACATGACCTAGCAGCTACAACTAGAAGGTGAAACCCCAGAGACCATCTCAAGTTAAAATAGGCATTAAAACTGTCACAACAGAGAAAATTCACTCAACAAACATCTACTGACCACGGAGTGACTGATGATGCATTATCACTCCATCTTACTCTCTCTGCCTACCTCTCTCATTCCTCTTCCCTTTGGGTATTTCTGGACAATCTATTCCTTCAGGAATTTCTCCCCCCCCCCTTTTTTTGCATGGGTTTTTGTTGTTGTGTGGTTTTGTTTTTGAACAGGATCTCACTATATAGCTCTGACTGTCTATGTTTCAAAGTTAAAAAAGAAAGCAGGCCTGTGAGGTGGCTCAGGTGGGGAAATGCACCTTTCTCAAATTTCAGTTCCTTTAGACCCCCTTGAAGGCATCCTGAGTTCAATCACTCAAGCCCACATGAAAGAACTGACTCCCTCAAATCGGCCTCTGACTCCCACAGTTGTGTCATGACATTTATACCAAATAAATAATTTAAAACTTTAGCTTTTAAAGAAGGAGGCATATTAAAGAGATACTCAGCATTTGGGGGCTGATTCCAGAAATTTACAGTCAATTAGGAACAACAATTATCAGTTATTATTTGCTTGAGGCTGTTCCTGTTGTTGCTAGGAAGAGAGTCATCCTTTGAAGCCCTTGCCTGACAGAACTCTCCATCCAAAGAGCATCAGAAATGAGGAAACAGGACTAAGATAACTCAGGGGGGAGGTGCTTGTCGCTGTGGCACAGGCACTGCTCCCAGAAAGTTACTAATTATATATGTCTGTGTGCATGTGTACACATATAAACATATCTATATACACACACACACACACACACAAATATATTAAGTGTATACATTTCTAAAATGAGGGAATAATCACTGTGATAAGGACTTTCGTGGTGGATGGGAAGAAGGCTGTGGTTCATGCAGGACAGGAGGCAATGAATGCTCAGAGTAGTGTGGATAGATACCACAACCTCAAGCCTCAGACACAAGAAAACCACCCTTAACAGCTCCAATAAGAGATCATATGGCCGTGATCAAGTGGGTGACTTCCTCTAGTAAGAGACTGGCCTCAGAGTATGAGCTCTAACTAGGAAGCAGATTGCATGTAGGCCAGCGTGCAGGATAGAACCCAAGGAGAATGTAGGGGAGAAGGGATCCCAAGCACAGGAGAGAACACATGGGAAAAAATTATGCTGAATGGGCTGGTGGGATGGCTTAGAGGGTAAAAATTCTTGCTGTATAGGCCTCATGACTTGAGCTCCATCCCAATACCACGGTGGAGGAGAAAACTGACTCCCAAAAGTTATCTTGTGACCTCCATAAACATGCCATGCTATGTCCACCCCCTCTTTCTCTCTCTTACACATACATTAATAATTTTGTTAAAATAAAGTAGAACAAAACCAGGCCTAATAATACAGGCCTGTAATCCTAGCTACTCAGGATATAGAGGCAAAAGGATTCCAAGTTTAGGCCAGCCAGGACCACAGAATGAGCTCAAGGCCTGCCTGGCAGCTTAGTGAGACCTTATCTCAGAAATAAGTATAGTTCAGTGAAGAGTACTTATCTAGTATACACAAGGCCCTGGGTTCAATGCCCAGTGTCATGAATAAATTATTTAAATAAATAGGAAGGTGGGATATTGTAGCCCATCTTTGCTACTTTGTGGATTCTTCTTTTCCTGCCCTTTATTCCTCCTGTTTCACTCCTGATGAGAGAAAAACAAGGATATCATGGAGAGAGGAATTAGGAAAATCCCTGAATTTAATTTCTTTCATTTTGTTTCTTATTTGACCATAACTACTAACAAATCATAACTAACCTCCCTAAAAGACGAACAAACACCGACCTTGCCTTTCTGGGCCCTTGCATTTATGTACCCTCTGAAAATAATCCCAGAATTCCAAACACCACACAATTACAAAAACTATCTTCAACTGGCAAAACCATGCTTCTGCTAGAATAGGAGGCAAACCATAGTCTGCTGCTGCAGACAGTCCAAAGCAGCCCCATATCCCCACACCTGGGATTAAAGTGAACGCACATTCTTGTAATAGCTCTGTATTGGTTTTTTGTTTGTTTGTTTGTTTGTTTTTAATAAAGAAACCAAAATTCCAGAATTCTTAAAAATGTCACTGCAGGGTATGGCTCAGTAGTAGAACCCTTGCAAAGCATGTATGAAGCCCTTATGTAGTTAAAAAAAAAAAGGGGTGGGGGAGTTGGATGCTAGAGAGTTGGGCCATCAATTAAAAGCTCTAGCTTCCAGAGAATCCCGGTTCTATTCTCAGCACCCACAGGGCAGGCCATAATCACCTATAACTCCAGTTCCAAGAGCTCCAACACCCTCGTTTGTTACATAGTCATATCATACATGCAGGGAAAACATCCATGCACATAAAAAAAAAATTAAAAAGAGCCAGGTAATGGTGGCACACACCTTTGCTTCCAGCATTTGTGAGACAGAGGCAAGAGGATCTCTGTGAGTTCAAGGCCAGCCTGGTCTACAGAGTAAGTTCCAAGACAGCCAGGGCTACACAGAGAAACCCTGTCTCAAAAAAAATAAACAAATAAATATTTTTCTTTTTAATGTGTGTGTTTGTTTTGAAAAAGAGGTCTCTCTGTTATGTAGCAAGGCCTGGAGATGATTCCTGGAGATGACATCACATCAGTTAAGAAATGCTATTCATTCCTTGAGGGCAGGAATAGAGTCCTTCTCTTCCCTGGTTCCCAGGATCCTATGACAGCACCTATACACAGCAAATAAGCAAGTGCTTGAGGACATAGACAAATTCCCCATCATCACATCCCAGTTCCAAAGGCAGCCGCATCCTAGTCCCATGTCTGAGATTAGGCTGCCTTACATGGCAAGGGCACTTTACAGATGTCACTGAATTAAGGAACTGGAGGTAGAGAGATTGCTTGAGGTTATCCACATGAACCGGACATAATCATGATGATTATGATGATTACTGTAAGAGGGAGGCAGGAGGCCCAAAGGTGGAGAAGATCATATGAAAGCAGAGCAGGAGCCCTGACGAGAACTTGTTGATGGTTTGCAAGGAATATGAAGCCTTTGAAAGTTGCCAAAGAAAAACATAATACACTTTCCTCTGAGGGAGAGAGAGGAAACCACTGAGCTACCATCCCGAGTCCTCTGTTTACATTTGTATTTTGAAACAAGGTCTCAAAAGTTGCACATGATGTTTTGAACTCACTCTATAGCCCAGGCAGGCCTTGCACTTGCAATTCTCCTGCCTCAGCCTCCCAGGTGCTAGAATGAAAAGCATGCAACACTAGACCACAATTTTTCTTTTCCCTCTGTGCCCCACCTTCAAGGATGAAATCTAGAGCCTTGTACATGCCAGGCAAGAGCTCTATTGCTAAACTATGTGACAAGGCATTGTTTTTGTCTTGCATCCCTTAGGAGCAGGAGTTACCTTTTCTTTTCTTTCTGGAGACAAGGTTTCTCTGTGTAGCCTGTGCTGTCCTAGACTACCTTTGTAGACCAGGCTGGCCTTGAACTCACAGAGATCCATCTGCCTCTGCCTCCCTGAGTGCTGAAATTACAGGCGTGTGTGCCACCATGCCCAGTTTATCTTCCTTTTGTTAACAACTGAGAAACTTGGGGCTGAGAGCAGCAGCTGCGAGGCTGGAGGGCTCCAGCTCTGTTGTGTGACCTCTGCCTCTACTTTTTCCACTCCCTGTTCCTTTTACCTCTTTCTGTGTATGTGCATGTTCACGTAGAGATCAGAGGCCAGCTTCATTCCTCAGGGGTTGTTCACTGTGGGTTTTTTTGTTTGTTTTTTGTTTTTTGAAACAGGGTCTCTCAATGTGACCTGAGCTCAATAACTAATGAGAGTAGAAGCTTGCACCATGACACCTCACAACCCATGGCTTTCTGTGAGTTCTGGGACTAGAGCTCAAGTCCTCATACTTTTGTAGCAAGTACTGACTGAACAGTCTCCAGTCCCAGCTCCACCTACCCCACCTCTTATTCTGAAAGGATCCCACAGGGCTGGGGGTATAGCTCAGTGGCAAAGAAAGCACTTGCTGACACTTTGGGTAAGTAACTGGCTTCTAAAAATGAGAATTCTCCCCAATGGACTCCCAGAAATTCCTGTTCAGAGCATGACCACCTGTTTCAAGTCCACCACTGAGAGGCCTATGTGGATTTCCTAGGAGAGGTCCCACTTACTGCTCTGACACCCTGCTCCCACCTGCCTCCTCCCCTTCCATCCCCATACCTTGGTGTGCTTCTTGTTTCTGGTCTTCATGGTCACAGGGATCAGTAAGGCCAGTTCTCGAAGCTTGTTCGTGTGGTTTTTCTTATCCTTCCTGTTTGAGGATGAGAGCCAATTTTGGTTAAGATACCTAAAATTAAGCTTTGTTTGGAGACAAGGTGATTGCATTGCCTCAGCCCCTCAAGTGCTAAGATTACAGATATGAGCCATCACATTTAGTTTTAAAGGTTTGTGGCCTGCCCCCAAACCTTCAGTCTTGAGTCAAGACTGTGCCCTATCCCCATCCTTGGACATCCAAGACAGAGTCTCAGGCATCATTAGAATTTACCATTCTCCTTTATCGCTTGGACCAATGGGTCCCCAAATCTTGCCCATCTTCCACCCCACTCCCACTTTTGTTAAGCCCCTAACTCTTACATGGCTGTCTTCACATCCTCATAGGGCTCCCAGTGTCCTATCTACCTCCTTCATCTGTTTTGTCTGAGCAAGCTCACTTTTCTGAAACATAAATCTGACCTTGGCGTCACACCTTCAAGGTCATGCCATTGATATGAAACAATTTGTTCATTTTTATTTTTAGATGTAGGATCTTGCTATGTAGCACAGGAGCGACTCAAACTTAGCAGTCTTCCTGCTTTAGTCTCCTAAGTATTGGGCTTACAAGTGTGCACCATAACACCTGAGAGGACCACGTTTAAAGCCTCTGAGTGGCTCACCCTTCCTTTTCTAGCCCAGCTGGCCATGCTAGTCCTAGCATTACTTTGGCTCTTTCATACTGACTGACCCACGCTGCACAGGGTGGGTGAGCTCCATACCCCTGCAGTCCATCACTGTGTCCTTAGCACAGTCACTGGGCTCTGGTACTCTGGAAATTCAGTGCATGCTGGCTAAAGGCCTCAATACAGGCATGAAAGGAGTTGACTTGTGACAACCTCCAGGGCCTAATTCCTGAATACATAATTCATGAGATAGCCACACATTATAACACACACAGATCCACCCCTCCCCCACTAGTCGAGCCATAAGATTGACTCCCAAATTATACACTACCCTACTGCTTGCAGGGTTCCTATGGTTGCCCTAGCACCTGCATTGCTACCAGTTCTCCTCATACCCTCCTCAGGGCCTTCAGTTGCTAGCTCTTGTACCCTGGTATCCCAAAAGACCATACCCTGTCCACACCAAAACCACCTTTCCATTACAGGTATAGATAGATTTAGTTCCAGTGGTGGTGATACACTGATTCTCCTCCCCAAGCCTGATGCTGGCCTCATATGTAGGGGAAGAACTTCTCTAGTCCCTGCCTATGAGGAGATGGGGCTCTGTGTGGGAGGCACACTCATCTTCCTAATCAAACTCCAACTTTCTAGAAGAATCTCTCTGGGCTGGGAGTGTGACTCAGTGGTACTAGAATTTACCAGTGCTAAGGCATTGGAGTCCATTCCAAACACTGAAAAGAAAAAAGAAATAAAGAAAGAAAGAGAGAAAGAAAGGAAGAAAAAAAGAAAAATTAAGAGAAAAAAAAAAAGAGAAAAGATCCTTCAAGGAACAAAAACTGGGGGTTGGGGAGCAGACAAGGGCCTGAAATCCATCACTGTGTGAAGACACTTGTAGGCAAGCCTGATGACCTGAGTTCCATCTCTGGAACCTACATGGTAGAAGGAAAAAACTGACTCCTGCAAGTTGTCCTCTGACCTCCACACATAATGCCATATCCCCCTTCCCTTGTCATAGAATAATTAAGTAACTATTAAAAATATCTTTTCACCTATTCATTCAGCAATTAGTTACCAAGCATCTACTGTGTGGCAGGAATGGTAAGGGACAGGGACAAGAGCATAAAGAACAAACAGCTCTTCTGCAGCTGAAGGGACAGTAAGGTCCTCAAACACACTGTTCCACAAACAAACCTGAAATAGCAACTAGGACCAGAATGAGCTATGTAATATTTGAGGGGTACACTACAAATAAAAATGTGGTGTCACTTGCTTAATAATTAAAAGCTTCAGCCGGACATGGTGGCACACTCTGGGAGGCAGAGGCAGGCAGATCTCTGAGTCTGAGGCCAGCCTGGTTTACAAAGCAAGTCCAGGACAGCCAAGGCTACACAGAGAAACCCTGTCTCGGGGGGGTGGGAGGGTGGAAGAGCTACAAGATGGAGAGCAAAGCATTAAACTCATTATGTAGGTCTTTTTATTCTCTGTGTGCTCGAGTACAGAGACACAGACACAGACACACAGACACACACACACACATGCACACAGACATATGTATGCAGCATGTGCCAGATCAGATGTCCTCCTCAATCTCCATGTTTTGTTTGTTTGTTTGTTTGAGACAGGGTTTCTCTGTGTAGCCTTGGCTGTTCTGGACTCTATGTAGACCTCAAACTCAGAGATCTGCCTGCCTCTGCCTCCGTGAGTGCTGGGATTACAGGCTTGTGACACTGCACCCAACTTTCCATGTTAGTTTTGATTCAGGGTCTCTCACTGAAACTGAAACTCACAGACACAGTTGGGCGGGCTGGCCTAACCTCAAGGATCCTCACGCCATCTCCCCCACACTTGTTTGTATTTTGTGGGTGCTAGAGATCTAATCTCAGATCCTTAACATTGCATACCAAGCACTGTTCTGAGCTAGCCACCAACCACCCCATGGTCTGACATTTTAAACTCTAGGCCCTGTGTAAACGACTGCACAAGTCAAACACCCATCAGGCTGGTTCTGATGGAATGTTAAGGAGAGGGGTTGCTTGGTTATGGATGCTGTAATAGCAGGCGTTGACCTACAAAATGAGGAGCTTGTTACCTGGAACTGCACTAGTGAGGTCTTTCCACAGAAACTAAATCTGGCCAGAACCTAGTCCAGAGGATAAGAGGGGATGAGAAGGAACAGACAACACGCCAGGCAAGAGGGAACATGTGCAAAGGCCCTATGACACAAAGCAGCAAGGAGAACTCAAGGAAAATAAAACCCAGGCACTGGAGCTCAGCAAGAAAAGTAGACAAGGCAGGTGCTAACATCTTGGGTGAAGCAGGAACCTATAGGCTTAGGGTACAGAGGAGTTTTATCTATATTCTAAGACCCATTGAAAACGCTTAAAGGACTTCCTGCAGCAGACAGCATCCTTAGTTCACCTCCTAAAATGTTTGTGGACACAGAAATCACACACACTTATCATATTAATGGAGGAGTGAAGAGGAAAACATCATATTGGATACCAAGTTACTCTTCTCTGACTGCAATTTTGAGGAGTGTTGTTGTTAGGCACACTGTGCTACCTAGGCTGGCCTCAAATTCCTGGGCTCTCAAGATCCTTCTACCCCAGCCTCCCCAGTAGCTGAGACCACTGGTGAGTTCAGGGTCATTATTAACTTAGCTAATCGTGAACTATTTTTTTTTTTTTTTTGAGACAGGGTCTCATATAGATAACTCAGGGTAGTTTTCAAGTTTTTCTGTATAGCTGAAACTGGCTTGAACTTCTTTCTTTTTGTTTTGTTTTTTATTAAGACAGGGTTTCTCTTTGTAGCCCTGGCTGTCTTAGAACTCATTCTGTAGACCAGACTAGCCTCAAAGAGACTTGCCTGCCTCTGTCTCTCAAGTGCTGGGATCTACAGGTGTCTAACACCATACCAGGCTCAAGATATTATTTTTAAAAAAATTTATTTTATGTCTGTGTGTTTTGCTTGCATGCATGTATGTACATGGCTGGTGCCCTCAGGTCAGAAGAGGGAGTTGAATCCCTTAGAACTAGAGTTACAATGGTTGTGAGCTACAACATGGGTACTAGGAATTGAACCTGGTTCCTCTGAAAGAACAGCAGGTGCTCTTAACTTCTGAGCTATCTTTTCAGCCACATGATTTTATTATAAAAAAAAAAAATACTGGTGCTTGCTCAGCACATATAAACCCTTGGGTTCAGTTTTCAATACTGCAAGCAACAGATAAATATAAGTAAATCCTCCAAAGCTTTGTCTAGCCCTGTTCTTATTTATGTGTGTGTGTGAAAATGCATGAGTTTGTGTAAAAAGGCCTGAGGTCCAAATCCAGTGTCTTCCTGAATCACTCCCCATCTTATGGTATTTGTATTTTCTTCTTTTTCGAGACAGGGTTTCTCTGTATAACTGCCCTGGCTGTCCTGGAACTCCATTTTAGAACCAGGCTGGCCTCGAACTCACAGAGATCTGCCTGTCCCTACCACCACATCCGAGTCCCATCTTATGTTTTAAGATGGTCTCTTTTTCAACCTTGAGCTCACTGATTTAGCTAGACTGAGTGGCTAAAAATCATCCTGTCTCTACCTTACTCCCCCACCCCACCCTATGCTGGAATTATAGGCATGTGCTCTTACACTTGTTTTTTTCATGTGAGTACAAGGGATTGAATTCATATCTTCATGCATGGCAAGCACTTTGTCCACTGAGCCATCTTCCTGACCTGACCCTATTTATTTACTTGCATGTTTTGCACTTGTCCCTGTACTTGAAAGAAAGAGTGTGTGTGTGTGTGTGTGTGTGTGTGTGTGTGTAACATTGTATGAATTTAAAGCCAACCAAGCAAGACCTTGTCTCAAAACAAAACAAAACAAAACAAAACAAAAAAAAAAAAACGCTGAAAAAAAAGAGGGTAGAATTATTTCTCAGAATGCTTAGATAATGGGGCACATAGCATATTGAATGACTTGTTGATAGTTGCTGCTTTTGCTTAACCAACATCCCATTCCCCTTCCCTCAATTGTCCTTTGGGCAACTTCTCTGCTCTCTGTGCATGTTGTTCAGAGAGGCTGACCCTATTCTCCCCTCCAAAGGGAGCACAGAACCAAGGTCCATCCAAGAAGTTACCATGACTGATTCAGAATTAGGGTCCGGATTTCAGGCTTGACCAGTGAGAGTCAATAAGTCTTGAAAAGAGGTTCTATGGGGTGATCAGCAGGCAGGATATGAACCTGAGCAGCTGGGAGTCATCTTGCCCTCCCCTAAGGAGCCTGCTTGATAAGGAAGAGCAGAGTGAAGGCAAGCAAAGCCCCACTAACAGCACTCACCCCTTGCCTGGCTGGGACCAGCCATGCCCTGCTATCCCTGACCTTTTGTTTAAATGACCTAGCAGATTCCCTTTTATTCATAAACCTAGTTTCAGCTAGTTTTCTACCCACCAAAACCAAGTCTTTGTTATTGGAAAAAACCCTCATCTAGAAAGAAGAAAACAAGAGACAAAGATTCTAAAAGCAATAGGCTGCATGATGCACGAGTCTTCATTACTTCATGATGCTCCTTCTGAGCATAGTATCTACACAGTGGACCAGAGCAAAGGAGGTGCTTAATTGTGATATTAATAAATGGATGAGGAGGGCTGTATGGACATCCATTTAGGGGAAGACAGTACTGAGCAAGATGAACTTCGACTGTTCTTAATTTGTCCAGATTGGATGGGTGGAGACCCTCAATCTGCTGATTTCAGAGTCCGACAGCTGAGGATACAGATATGCATATGGCCCTGAAGCCATTTCAGTATTCCTCACTCCCAACACCCAAAAGGTTCTTACGTAAGTATTTGGTGGATGAATGAATGCACATTGTGAGTGAAAGGAAAGAGCATTTAAGAACCTCAGAATTAGAGGGCCTAGATAGAGAGATGGCTCAATGCTCTCAGAGAGGATCCAGGGTGCAATCCTAGTACCTGCAAGGTGGCTCACAACTCTTTTCAATGCCAGTTCTGGGGGATCTCATGCCCCCTGCTGGCCTCCACAGGCATGGCATGTGCATGGTGCAGAGAGACATTCAAACAAAACACTGACACACACATAAAATTAAAAATAAAGAAATGAACAACAAAATGGGATCTGTGGATGTAGTAAAGTGATGAGTTCCTTAGGACTTCACATCACAAGGCCCTGGGTTCATTCACAGAACTGAAACAAACAAACAAACAAACAAACAAACAACAAACAAAACTTCAGAACCCTCTTTGGGAAATAGCGGGAATATTCCCACCTCCTTCCTTGCTAGGTGGCGGTTATTAGATACAATCAAAGTTCTAGACAAACAAGCTAGAAACAGTGTTTAGTAACATCATGTTGTTACTATTAGTCAGTCATAGTGGCTGGAGCTATACTGAAGATGGGGAAATAATTACCTGTCATTAGGACTCAAAGAACTAGCTCTGAGCTGATCAGGAAAACACAAGAATCTCCTGGAACCCAACATCTGCAAAGAGGGGAAGAATTATTAGTGACCTTTGAGACTCCAAAATGAATGTACACCTTTCCCCACCCCCTTGGCACATCTTTAAAAGCATCCAGATATCCTAAAATAGAACATCTCTATGGGCTCAGGAGCCTAAAAACCCTAAAATTTAAATAGAAGATCACAAATCCCAAATGGTAAATTTAAGCTCCTAAAATTTGGATCTAAAACCAAAATCATCAAGTTTCCAGACATTTATCTCAGAATTCAAACATCAATAACTGGATGCCAGAGGCTGAAATAAAGACTGTCTAGTCTGAAAAATGGCTTGAAACCTCTAGAAAGGGGTGGGGGTGGGAGGTTGAGACAGGATCTCTCTTTATAGCTCTGTCCTAGAATTCACTATGTAGACTAGGCTGCACTTGAATTCACAGATTCATTTGCCTCTGCCTCTCCAGCACTGAAATTAAAGGGATGTGCCACCACACCCAGCTAGATAGCGATATTAATAGATGAAAACTGACTTTAAAAGTGAGAGGCTGGAGAGATGCCCAGAGGTTAAGAGCACTGGCTATTCTTCCAAAAGTCCTGAGTTCAATTCCCAGCAAACACATGGTATCTCACAACTGCCTGAAGTCCCGATTCCAAGGGATTTGGCACCTTCACAGATATACATGCAAGCAAAACACCAATGAAAATAAACAAACAAACAAACAAACAAGTTAATAAATAAATATTTTTTTAATCCTAAAGTAAGAGCTGGATAAATGGCTCTACAGTTAAGAGCACTGACTGCTTTTTCAGGGGACTTAGATTTGATTCCTAGACACACTGTGGCTCACAACTGTCTCTAACTCAAGTTCCAGGGGATCTGATGTCCTCTTCTGGTCTACTCCAGAAACTCCATGCATGTAGCATGCATGTGCACACACACACAAACACACACACATGCAGGCAAAACATATATAAACATGTTTTATAATATATAAAATAAACATGTTTATATAATATATAACTTTTAAAATTAATCATAAAGTGAGCCAGGCTTGGTGGACCACACCTTAATCTCAGGACTCAGGAAGCTGAGGCAGTCAGATGTCTGTGAGTTCCAGGTCTTCTAGGGCTACATAGTGGAAACACTGTCTCAAAAAACAACCAGCAAAAAACCCCACCACAAAAATAGTTAAACAAACAAATAAATAAAAATTCCTAGGTGAAAGCCAAATCCCCAAAAGAAGCTTCCTAAATCTATTCATCCTGAAAATCTAATACTGAAATTCTGGATGTTCAAAATGTTGAGTATTGACCCTCAAATAGGAGCCTAATCCTAATATCAGATGACAAACCACAAACTTACACACACACACACACACACACACACACACACACACACACACACACACACGTAGTCCAAGTCGGACTCCAACTCAGGAAGGATTACATGTGTGAATTACCACACCCACCTCAAACCACAAACCTTAACGCTGAAAAGCCCAGATCCCATTCCCCCCCGCCAAAAAAAAGCGTTTCTCATGTCCTACAATAAATATCTCTGGACTCCTAAAACTGTCCCTTCAGATCCTCAAATTGCGATCTCCTTAGAAAACGTCGATTTCACGCGTGCATCCCGCTGAGACCGGAACCCTAAATTGACACCTGTCTATACTCAGTGGGAGAGGTCAACTCCAGCCCTTAAACCTAGTTCTCAAAGGACCCAAACTGGGTCCCACCCCAGATCCTACTTTCACACCTCAATAGTCCTCACCTCAACCCTGTCAAATTAGATGGCTGACCCTCCAAATAGTAACTCTGGAACCCCAAACTAACATTTCCAGATCCCCCGAAAGCCGAGCCTCGAACAGGAGACCCCACGTCTTCCACGGCGCTCGGAAAGAACGTTCCAGAAATCCGATTTTAACCAGGGGTCCCCCAGACCTCGGCTTAGCCTCAAACCTGCTCCGCTCCCGGAGAGGCCCCGGCCGGAAGGCATGACCCCGGCGACACCACCTCAGGCCGGCGAGACCCGGGCGTCCCCCGCCCCTCAGCCGCGGGCCACCAGCACCTGCCTCAAGACTTGCAAGATGGCGCTAAGGCTCGGCTTCTGGTTTGGCGCCGGGCCCACGCTTGGGAAAGCCCGATGGGCTCAGGCAGCGCCTCGCGCCGGGTCCCAGGGACGCAGGCCGCGTGCCCCCCGAGGCGGAGGCTGAGGGAGAAATGGCAGGGCGCGAGGCGGGCCGCGCGACGTCGTCGGAGCGCCTGAGGCGAGGCCACGCCCCTCCACGTTCCCGCCACGCGGTGCGAGGCGGGAGCAGAGAAGGTGTTGGAAAGAGGCAGGCCATGCGCACGCGCACCCGGGGCAGGGCGCCGGCTGCGGCTCTGACACGTGCTCCTGTTCCCGCGCCCCGCAGGGCCGGCTAATCAGCTCCTGCTTCGCTACCCGCCCTTTTCTCAGGCCCCGCCCCTGCCCCGCCCCTCCCCCTGCCTCGCCCCGCCCCTAACCGTATTTCCCCTAACAGGTCTTGGCAGGTCTCGGAAGAGCTAGGTGTCAGCACTCCCCCTGCCGGCCCCGCTGTGTCCCGGGCCCACACTTTCCCTTCAGCACAGATACGATCAAAAACCACTATGTGCCAAGCACTTTGCTCAGGCTGGTAACTTTGCCAACTTTCCTTTGTAGACCTGAAGGAGATACCAGTTCCTGTAGATGCAAACAAAGTAACCTTTTTAGTGTCTGGTCTTGCTACGTAGCTCAAGTTTGCCTAGTACTTGTGATCCTTCTGTCCCGGGTCTGTCTGGAATGCAAGGAGCGCACCACCAAGTCAGGCTACAAACTATACTATTTGTTTATTTAAACAAATATTTTTATTTTTAACTATATACACACATTTTTTTTTGGGGGGGGAGAGGTGTATTCATATGAGTGCAGGTGTCCTCAGGGGCCAGATGCATCCGATCCCCCTAGAGTTGAAGTTACAGGCAGGTGCTGGAAGCAAATCCAGATCCTCGGGGAGAGCGGTATGTGCTCTAACAGCGGAGCAGTCTTTCCAGTTTTATTTATCTTTTGACATAGGGTCTCACAGCCTTGAGCTCAGCATGTAGGTAGTTCAGGCTAACCTCAAACTCACGGATATATACCACACTCTGCCTCCAGAATGGTGGCATTAAAGACATGCGCCACACTGGCAGACCCAAACTGTGCATGTTAAGAAAGCTTTCCTGGGCTGATGAGCTGGCTCAGTGCATAACGGCCCCAGCTTGCTAGTTCTTACGAACTGAGTTCCATCCCTGGGATTGTCATGGTGGAAGGAGGGACTCAGCTCCTTGAAAGCTGTCCTCTCACCTCCTCCATACCCACACAAATAATCAAATGAAAGCTCATTCTCAAATATACAGGTACGGAATTTTGTGGGGGGAAATCTTCAGAAGTTTTCTAGCAACCTAACTATGACAAGTACCTGGGGTTAACTATCTCAGCTCAGAGTACTTTCCAGAAAAAATGCAGACTTTTAGAAATGTAAGAAATTTGGGGTAATTCTTACTAAGTGATCAGAAAGTATGAACTCTTCACTCAATACTGTTCTGGGTGCCTAACCAAGACACACAGAGATTCCTGCCTTTCTGGAAGTTTTGCTCTACCTGTGATGTGGACGGTCCGACAGTGTCTAGGCTCTCCTCACTCCAGCGTCTTGTTTTTCTTATTTGTGAATTAGGAGGAGGTAGTAGGCAAGAGTGGGGTGTGAGAAGGAAGTGAGGAATGAAGATGGGAAGCTTGGGAAAACGCATATATTGTCAATTATGTATTCATTCACATAAATAAAACCGGATAAATCTGTTCTTTCTCAACTCTCCATCCTTCATCTCTTTGACCTAGCCTCAATTTCCTTTTCAAGGGCCTCGAGCCAAAATGGAGGCGGCTGGACTCTATTTCCCAGAAAGCCTAGAGGGAGAATTTTCTGCGCCTGCGCAACTCAATGTTCCCTTTGCCTCCTGGGAATTAGAGTCATTCTATGTCTAAGCCCGCCTAGTTTTTTTTCCTAGTCTACCTCCAAGTTACCGTGCTGCATATTGGGAGCTGTAGTCCGTGGCCGCCTGTACTCTAATTCCCAGCGGGCTTCGGGGCGAGAACCCGGAAGGGGAGACTGGAGAGGAGCGAGTGGGGGAAACCCGCGTAGTCGAGCAAGCTGCAGCGCGGGGAGATGGTGAGAGCCCCAAGCTAGGTCCTGCGGGTGCTGGGGAGTATGAACAGGGGGTTCAGGACCTGGGTTCTAGAGGAAGCAAACTGAGGCTCAAAGGGCCGGGCGTGGGGAGAGCACTGTGGGTGGGGATTGAGAGGAACGGGAGCCCGAGGGAGTAGAAGAATGGGGGCTAGGGAGGGGTCTTGGAGGTGGAGAGAGTCGAGCTTTGAAATTGACTGTTAAAGGGATTCGGAGCTGGGGGAGTGAGGCTCCGAGTTGGAGTCCTGGCTGAACAGGTGAGAGATCCTGACGTGGGTAATTTCGAGAGGGGTTAGTTAGCCTGGTGTTCATGGAAAGACATGGGAGTCGGGGCTAAATGAGTGAAGGAAGAGCTAACCGCAGATGCACTGGGTTGGGTCTCTGCTTGTGAGGTGGGGCGGCAAGGCAAGTTAAGGAGTTGGGAGGCAGAACTCGTCGATGCCGTGGGTTAGCTTCTGGGACCAGGAGGCGTTGTAGGGTTCGCGAGTTTAGGAACGTGGCTGTCGATAATCGTGCCTTAATCTAACCAGAAACTTCCAGACACAGAACTCTGAGTTGACGTGGCCAGAAGAGATCCGTAGGAACAACCTTTAGCACCCTTCTAGCACCAGTGGAATGGAGAGGAGTAGTGCTTTGAGTGGACAGTCCAGCTTTCAGATTCCCCATTCTGCCTCCTTTGTGACCTAGCAAGTCTCTCTGTAAGCTTCTGTGCCCTTATCTGTGTGATGAGGCCACTGTGAAGATAGCTAACGGGAGGCTCGGTACAAGTTGATACTTTCGGCTTTCGGTAGGAAACTTAAGTCCCAGCCTCGGTGGGGAGCTCCCATCCCAGGGATGTTGAATGTTGACTGGGTTCGAGTTGCTAACCCCACTTTTCAGTCCGGACCCCAGACGTTTTATCAAAACCTGACAGTAGTCTGTGTGTACACACACGGTTTGTGGAGGGGACGCCCCATTCCCGCCCCTTTTCTGCTGGCACCTGTTTATGCTCAGCATTGGCTTTAGCTGTCTGTGTTAACTCATTGGGTTAGGTGGAGGTACTCCATTTTACAGAAGGAAGCAGGGGTACAGAGTTTGAGCAGCTTTCTTGGTGTCAGCCAGCATCAAATGGCAAATCTAGAATTGCAGTCCCTGTCAGAACTGCTTTTGTTGCTTTCATTCAGTCCCCACTGTTTATAGTGAGGATAGGGTGAGTGGGGACACCCAGAGCACCTGTCAGAGAAGATTTAATTCTTTTGTGTGACCTGGAGCAAGTCTTAGGACTCTTAACTCCAACTATTACATGAGATCCATAACCTGGGTAGGTTAGGGAGATTAGAGCAGTAATGTTTGGGAAATGCTTAGAGCAAGTGTACAGTACACATGTGTTGTTGCCTTGAGACTGTGTAGCCCAGGCTGGCCCCTAACTCTTGATCTTTCTGTCTCAGGATCCAGAGTGCTGTAGAATTACCATCACCCTAGACTAGATATTGTTTGTTCTTGTTGTTGTTTTGAGACAGGGACTCATGTGTTCTGGGCTGGCCTCAAGCTCTCTGTGTAGCTGAGGGAGGCCTTGAATTCCTGATCCTCCTGCCTCCATATTTTGATTTCTGGACTTACAGATTTACACCACCATGTCTGGTTTATGCTATGCTGAGGATCCAGCCCAGAGCTTTGTGCATGCTAGATAAGTACTCTATCTACTGAATTACATCCATGCTTTTGTTTCCAAAACAAATGAGAAGCACCATAAAGAAGGTAGAGGAACCTTGGAGCATTGGACATGCCCCTCCCACCTCACCCCTTCCTGATTTTTCTAGTTTTACCTTTCCCTTCTCCTGAGTCTAAGCAAGACTCTCAGAAAGGTGCTCAGAAACTCAATCTGTCTCCAACCAAATATTAATAATTCACTTGCCAGGTCTGGCCCAGTGCCCAGGTCTTCCAGTGAGTTAGAAATACTGCTGACAACTGAGTTGGGGTTTTGTTTGTTTTGATTTTTGGTTTTCTTGTTGTTGTTGTTGTTGTTGTGTGTGTGTGCCCTCTAATATTTTGGTCAGGCCAGGCAGGGGTCTTGCCTAGGGAATTTAGCAACTTTGTAGTTCACTTTGAAATTATTTGAGCTTTTTAATTTTATTTTTTTTTATTTTTGGTTTTTCAAGATAGGGTTTCTCAGTGTAGCCCTGGCTCTTCTAGAACTCTCTCTCTCTCTCTCTCTGTCTCTCTCTCTAGACCAGGCTGGCCTCAAACCCATACAGGTTGACCTACCTCTGCTTCCCAGGTGTTGGGATTACAGGCCTGCGCTACCACCACCCAGCTAACAAATGATATTTGTTTTGTGTGTGCTATGGGTGGTTTGTACATGTGCCTCCCAGAAGAAGGTGGTTGGATCATCAGGAGCTAGAGTTACAAGTGGTTGTGGGCTGCCTGGTGTGGACGCTGGCCACTGAGCCTGCTACCTCAGCCATCTTAGCAGCCCTAGCATGGGCATTTGCTTGGAGCAGACCTGCTTCTCTCTCTCTCTTCTTCTCTCTCTTCTCTCTCTCTTTTTCTTTCTTTGCTTTCTTTTTTTTCTTCAAGACAGGGTTTCTCTATGTATCCTTGGCTGTCCTGGAACTCTTTGTGAACCAGGCTGGCCTCAAACTCAGAGATCCACCTGCCTCTATCTCCCAAGAGTGGGGATTCAAGGTGTGCGCCACCATGTCTGGCCTCCATGTTTTTTACATGTAAAATGAGACCACAGTTAACCCATGATGTCCTCCTAAAGAGTTGATAATGAGAGCATGTGTTTAAAATTACCTGGTGTGTTGTGCTCTCTATAAGTATGACAACTTTCTGGTGTTTTCATTCTTTCAGGAAAAACACATTTCAGTTGTTTGTGGTGGCACAAGCCTGTAATCATAGCACAATGAAGATGGATGTAGGAGGATCAGGAGTTCGAGGCTAGCCTGGGCAAGAAAGAAAGAAAGAGAGAGAAAGAAAGAAGGAAGCAAGAAAGAAGATGGGAGGGGAGAGGAAAAATGAGGGTTCACTTAAAAAGCTGTTGTATAGTGTGTACTATGGGACACCGGGGGGGGGGGGTGTCAGTGTGAACCGGTTTCCTCCTGCCCTGTGGATTCTGAGAGTGGAAATCAGGTCGTTTAGGCTTGTCAGCAACTAACTGTACCCACAAGTCACCTTGCTGGACTGGGATTTGCTTAAGTGGCCAGATCCTACTAGATGCCAGGTCTGGACTGTAGGCAGACTAGCCTCACCTTTTAGGGCTCCCTGTTGCCATAATGCCAGGGCACTGTTCTCTCGGCACTAGTGGCTCTGAGTTCAGGTTTCAGGGTCCTTTCCTGCCTGTCTCTTCTCCTGCCGCCACCTGAGAGCTTTTAACAGGGTCTCTCCACTCTTTTGTAAATTATTTTAGGGTAAAGTCAAACATCTCTCACTTGTCCCTGGCCCTGTGTGTCACAACTGGGTGAACTGACTCCTCCCGACACCCCGTGCCATCCACTTGTTTGTCTTAGGAAAAAACGAGTCAGATTCCCAATTATATTTGCCTTTTTTTTCCCCTTTTTGTAAGGCGTGTTCTAACTGTATAGCCTCAATGCTCTGAAACTCAATATGTCAGTCCCCAGGTTGTCCCGGGACTCACAGAGATCTGCCTACCTCTGCCAGCTGAGCCTTGAGCTGAAAAGGCAGGAGCCGCGTGTGTTTGTCTGACTCTGTAGCATAGGCTGGTCCCAAACCTTTGGTCATCTTTTACCAGCTGTATGGTGCTGGGATTATAAGCCTGGGCCACCACATGTGGCTGTTGTTTTTCTTTCCTCTATTAAGAGAAGAGTCTCACACAGCCCAGGCTGGTGTTAAACCAACTATGTAGCTGATAATGACCTGGATTCTCCTGCCTCTACCTCCCAGGTGCTAGGATCACAGGCTCCAGGTCCCATGCTCTTGTCTTAGGTTGGGTTTCAGCCTGTGCCTGTCTGAGGCTTGACCATATAGCACATGATGCCTGTGTGTGCATGTACCAGCAAGCCCCAGGGGTCCTCCTATCCCTGTCCCCATAGTGGTGGGGTCATAAAGGCATATGCCACCATGCCAGGCTCTTTTCATGGTGAAGGAGATGAAATCCAGGTCTTGATGCTTGCCTGGCAAGCACTTTATAGGCAGACTGAGCTGCTGTTATTTATTTGTTCTTGTGTTTTTGAGAGTCTGGACCTAGAGTTACAGACCTTTGTGAGCCGCCATGTGGGTGCTGGAAATGGAGCCTGGGTCCTCTGTAAGAGCAGCCAGTGCACTTAACCTCTCAGCCAGCTCTTCAACCCCAGCTCATCCCCAGTTGTTATGACAGTTTCACTCTGTAGCCCTGATTGGCCCTGAGAGCTCAGGGATCTCTCACCTCGGCCTCCTGAAGCACGCGATGTCACGCCTGCCTCTAAAGTTATTGTATTCCACGTGTGACAGCAGATTACTAGCTGTGGTAGCAAAACTATCTTAGGCCTCAAAGCACGACTTGTGAAGAGTTTGCTGTTGACACCTACCTTTATATGGAAAAGGACATGGCTTCTCTGACTGGTCGCTGCCTCCTTGACTTGAAAACATAAACTCGCCTTCCACACAGTCCAGCCCTTGTGTGTTTGTTTATTTCTGCCTGGAAACTGCCAGTGAGCTTATCTTCCCTTTATCCAATTAGTATGTCAGCCCCTGAGGACAAGGCGCCCAGTCTCCTGCTCCTTGTGTGTCCCCGATGCCTGGAGCTGCACCTGCCACAGTGTAGGCTTTTCTTCTCTTTTCGGCAGAGTTTCCTTGGTTGGCCTTGGTTTGGTTTTTCAAGACAGGTTTACCCTGTATAATAGCCCTGGCTGTCCTAGAACTCACTCTGTAGACCAGGCTGGCCTTGAATTCACAGAGATCTGCCTGTCTCTGCCTCCCAAGTGCTGGGATTAAAAGTATGTGCTACCGTGCCCAGCCTTGTTTTTGTTTTTAGTCCATTTTTCTGTGTGTGGTTATTTTGCCTGCAT